ACAATACAGTAAATACAGTCTATTCCTCAAGGAGATGGCTCTACGTCTGCAAAGACACTTTAGCCCAGTGGAACCTTGCCCAGGTACAGCCTGTTTCAGACTTTGGCGCAGTTGGAGGAAATGGGCCAAACCACAGTATTTTGGCTGTTGTATGCACACATGTACGACTTAACAAAACAACACTCAAGAGAAAATCGCAGCTGACAGATTCCGTGTCTGTGGAGCAGGTATTGGGCCTGTACAACCACTGCCAGCAATTGCCAACATGGCTGTCTCTATCAAATTGAGGGCCATTGCTAGCCAGACAAAGTGCAATTGCGATCAACTGCTGCCACCAGCTGGTTGCACTTGGTGCCTTATGCTCTGTGTATAATGTGCGTGTGTAGAACAACAGCCCTGATCAAATTTAGTCAAGTGGGTTCAGGAGCTTTATAGAATGCACACCTAAAATGTCAAAAATGCCTTCTTTAGGACGTCATTTCCCCTTTGTGTGTTGTTATTCTTGGTATGTGAAAACAAGTTCTTCCAGTCAATCCATATATTTTATAAAAAGCCAGATTTTCTGGTCCCCTCTACAAAACCCTTTGTCAGGCGCCCTACACTCATTTTGCTTTCAAACACTGACTGCTTTTGTTTGGATCTTTTACATACATAGAGAAATACTCATGCAGTGAAAATTATTGTAAGGACTCTAAACTCCAACAAGGTAAGATCTTTTCAGGACACTCAAAGATGCTTTACAAGATGCTTTTACATATTAAAACAGTCTAAAGAGCTATAAACAAATAATATGGTGAAGATAAAAAAACAGTGAATTATACTGAAAAAAGTTAAACATTAAAAGCTAGTAGTAGTAGTAGTAGTAGTAAGAGTAGTAGTAAATATGTTGTTAATATATCAAATTTTGCAATAAAATGATTGTGTGAGTGAAGTCAGTAAAGTATGATTTGAAATAACTGAGATGAATATGTTATGCATAAGTTATATGTTATAAATAAATAAATAAATAAAATTACACTAATGGGGTAACTGGGGCAACTCTCCTGTTCTGGACCTTCTTATTCAAGAGCAGCTCTCATTGTGGCTCAACATCAAATAAAACAAGTTATGAAGGTGTTTTTTGACCTCAGTTGAACTCAGTTTTGATAAAATACATAGTTACTGCGTTTTTGCTTTGTAGGGCAGTATTACCACATGACATGAGGAATGAGGAAGCAGCATTATAACATAGATCAAAAAATAACATAATATGAGCCCTTTAAGCCTTTTTTTTTTTTTTTTTTACCTGGATTTTGTAATTTGTTTAAGACATGTTGTGATTTATGCTTAATCAAATTCTAATATCAGTGCATTCAGGTCATAAGGTAAAGATAATATTTTAGTTGTTAGAAGGTCTGTAACATTCAGATGTAGAAAAAGTTATGTTTGAAACAGTTACTTCTGCAAAACAAAAAAGGGAAAAATATGTGTTCATACTTTCACAGATGGAACCACTGACACTTCTCCTCCTGCTGGCAGGTAATATATCTATCTATCTATCTATCTATCTATCTATCTATCTATCTATCTATACATATACATATATATATATATATATATATATATATATATATATATATATATATATATATATATATATATATATATATATATATATATATATATATATATATATATATATATATATATATATGTATGTATTTATGTATATATGCAAGATAAGATATGTACTTATTTATGCATTTATTTTGTACATTTACATGCAGGTCTAATAGGAACATCAGCAACCAATGCAACAACAGGTAAAATTACACACACACACAAGACATAGAATTAAGAGTTATACATTTAAATTATACATGAATATCTGTTTTTGTTCATTGCAAATTGCAATATTGATTTGAAACTGCTTAACAGTTCAGTTAAATGTTAAACAGGAATTCTCCAATTAAAAAACAACTTCAGTGATCATAATGAGGGACAACTATTATGACATTAAAGTATAGAAATGTCAAGTCAGCATAACATGTCTAATTTAAGACAGAAGTGATTCAGCGTGTTTGAATAATCTTTTCGCCTGAATTCAAAATGCCATTTCTCCAAAAATCTCCTTTACCCCTCACACTCCCAGTGTTCTATACTTTATTGTCCTTTTTAATGTATTTTGGCACAAATGAAATAAAAAAGCACTGCTCACTACTGTGAAATGCAGCTGTCTGTAGGTGGAGTCGTTGACATAGGTGGAAATCATCTCTGCTCTTTTGAACAGTAAATCATGACTCATTTCCTTCAAGTTGTTTAGATCAATATGGCAGTTCAAAATTATTATGAGTATGTGCATGTAAGAGAATAAAATAAAAATAAATAACAAATAAATAGAGCTAAAAACAGTTAAATCAAAGCCAACCGATGATGATACTGGTAGTGCGAGCCTCATCTCCTCAGGCAGGTCATTCCAAAACCAAGGTGCCGGACTGAAAAGGCTCCATCACCCCTCATCCAGAGCCTGGAATTTGGAAGAGGAACCTGGTTGAGGATCTAAGGCTGTGGGAGAGCTTGTACGGGGTTAAAGTTCTGAAATGTAACTTGGTGCAAGACCTAAACGAGCTTTAAAAGTGTGTTAAATCTTTAAATCAGTTATAAAACATACAGGCAGCCACTGAAGGGAAGCTAAAATAGGGGTCATGTGTTGATGTCTGTTAAACCCAGTGAGGAGCCAAAGTACTGCATTCTGAACCAGTTGGACACAGGAGATGGATTTAGCTAAAGGTGCATTACATAATTTTGTTTGTTGCGGGTCCTTAACCTGCTTGTTTCTGTTGATATTATTGGAATGTTCCGCAGTATGACAGTAAAGCTCTACTGGTGGAAGATTGGAAAAAAAAAGTCAATATGTATTTATCTCCAAGTGTATTTCATTTTGGTAACCAGTAGATGGCAGGCTGAAACTTGCGCCCTCCCTACTCCTTACCTGGCCTTTGTGCTCTCTCTTCTTCTCTCAGGCCAAAGCTGTCATGCTGTCACTTAACTATAACATAGGTAACATCTAGTGGCTAATTCAGTAAAATGATCAAACACATTAACATGCAGATCTGACTGAATTAAAATTCAAAAGAAAAAAAAAATGTTTTGCTTGCGGTGTCATACATTTGGAAGAAGTTTTTCAAAAATAGAAAAGAGAGACATAAACGTCTGTATGTTACAAGTATGTTTTATTTGAAAGATACAACCATAAATTTACATTTATATTTATTATGTTTCTTATAGCTCAAGCACCAGCCTCTAATGCCACCACACACTCAGCCAACACAACATCACCTCCTAATAGTAACACAACTGCCCCTACGCCTACCAACGCAACTGCCCCTACGCCTACCAACGCAACTGCCCCTACGGCTACCAACGCAACTGCCCCTACGCCTACCAACGCAACTGCCCCTAGCCCTACCAACGCAACCGACCCTACGCCTACCAACGCAACTGCCCCTACACCTACCAACGTAACTGCCCCTAGCCCTACCAACGCAACTGCCCCTACGCCTACCAACGCAACTGCCCCTAGCCCTACCAACGCAACCGACCCTACACCTACCAACGCAACTGCCCCTACACCTACCAACGCAACTGCCCCTAGCCCTACCAACGCAACTGCCCCTACGCCTACCAACGCAACTGCCCCTACGCCTACCAACGCAACTGCCCCTAGCCCTACCAATGCAACCGACCCTACGCCTACCAATGCAACTGCCCCTACGCCTACCAACGCAACTGCCCCTAGCCCTACCAATGCAACTGCCCCTACGCCTACCAACGCAACTGCCCCTACACCTACCAACGTAACTGCCCCTACACCTACCAACGTAACTGCCCCTACACCTACCAACGTAACTGTCCTGACACCTACCAACGCAACTGCCCCTACCCCTACCAACGCAACTGACCCTACGCCTACCAACGCAACTGCCCCTACGCCTACCAACGCAACTGCCCCTACACCTACCAACGTAACTGCCCCTACACCTACCAACGTAACTGCCCTACACCTACCCAACTGTCCAACACCTACCAACGCAACTGCCCCTACCCCTACCAACGCAACTGCCCCTACACCTACCAACGCAAACTGCCCCTACACCTACCAACGCAACTGCCCCTACGCCTACCAACGCAACTGCCCCTAGCCCTACCAACGCAACTGCCCCTACGCCTACCAACGAAACCGACCCTACGCCTACCAACGCAACTGCCCCTACGCCTACCAACGAAACCGACCCTACGCCTACCAACGCAACCGACCCTACGCCTACCAACGCAACTGCCCCTACGCCTACCAACGCAACTGCCCCTAGCCCTACCAACGCAACTGCCCCTACGCCTACCAACGCAACTGCCCCTACCCCTACCAATGCAACTGCCCCTAGCCCTACCAACGCAACTGCCCCTAGCCCTACCAACGCAACTGCCCCTACGCCTACCAACGCAACCGACCCTACGCCTACCAACGCAACCGATCCTACCCCTACCAACGCAACTGCCCCTACGCCTACCAACGCAACTGCCCCTACACCTACCAACGCAACTGCCCCTACGCCTACCAACGCAACTGCCCCTACGCCTACCAACGCAACTGCCCCTAGCCCTACCAACGCAACTGCCCCTACGCCTACCAACGCAACTGCCCCTACGCCTACCAACGCAACTGCCCCTACACCTACCAACGCAACCGACCCTACCCCTACCAACGCAACTGCCCCTACGCCTACCAACGCAACTGCCCCTACGCCTACCAACGCAACTGCCCCTACGCCTACCAACGCAACTGCCCCTAGCCCTACCAACGCAACCGACCCTACGCCTACCAACGCAACTGCCCCTAGCCCTACCAACGCAACCTGCCCCTACGCCTACCAACGCAACTGCCCCTAGCCCTACCAACGCAACTGCCCCTAGCCCTACCAACGCAACTGCCCCTACGCCTACCAACGCAACTGCCCCTACGCCTACCAACGCAACCGACCCTACGCCTACCAACGCAACTGCCCCTACACCAACCTCACCTCCACCAACCAACATGACATCACCTCCACCTACAAATATGACATCACCCCTCCCCTACAAACATTTCCAGTACACCAATTACACTCCCAACCACAACAGCAGCTCCTAAGCTGGAACCAAAAATAAAACTTGAATTCAAGATGGATGAAACCTTTACACCCAGCCTTGAAAACAAATCCTCACCAGAGTTTAAAGCTTTGGAAGAAAAAGTCACAAAGGCGGTAAGGATTTGTATGTTGTGAATTGTATTTTTATGTCATTTGTCATTATAATATTTTATCTTCAGCTTTATTGTCAGTTTTAATGAGCATTTTATCTACAGCTGGATGCCGTTTTTAAAGTCAAATTTGGACCTGCTTTTAACAAGACAGTTATTAAAGGTTTCAGGTATGTATGACGACTTGTATAAGGTCAGTACATTTATCTGATCTGATAATTCATAATTGACTTTTTTCTGATATGAATGTGCAGCAAAGGATCCGTAAAAGCAGACACTGAATTGATATTCAATGAAGAACAAACAGTGCCCAATGTGACATCTGTTTCTGACACTTTGGTGGAAGCTACGTCCAGTTCAAACTTCTCCCTGAGTGTGAATACATCAAGCATTGTTACCAATGGTCAGTATATGTTCAGCTATTGTCATTTCAATAAATCTGTCAAGAACATTTCTATAAAATTTTGATTTTATAGTTGTGGTGATGACAACAGTTGCCCCAACTACTATTACTTCACCCACTGTGACAAGTAAGCAACTCAGCAAGTCATTTAAAAAAAAATATCAAAATTTAAAAATGAAGTAAAATGAAGTTAACACATATTTATTTTGCAGCTTTTAATGTTACATCACCTCCTCCAACCACTACAGCTTCACTTCCGACAACACTTGCAACTACAACAGCCACATCTGACTCAAAAATAAATCTTGAATTTAAGCTGCAGGAAACCTTTTCCCCAAGTCTTGAGAATAAATCTTCACCTGAATTCAAGGCATTAGAAAAAAAAGTCACAGAAGCGGTACAGCTAATTTCTTTTCTTGCATACATAATGATAATATTTGTATATTTGACACATTAGTGACAAATTTACTAAACATCATTTGATAACTTTTTCCACAGCTTGATGCTACATATTCAGCTAAATTTGGATCTAAATTTAAACGCACAGTAATTAAAGCTTTCAGGTTTGTAAAGAACCAAAAACATTACCGTTTGATTTTGTCAACTGGATATAAACATTTGACATTTTTAATTGTCAATTATTCTGCAGCAAGGGATCTGTTAAAACAGAGGCTGAATTGATATTCAATGATGCAAACACTATGCCAAACACAACATCCGTCTCTGATGCTTTGGTGGAGGCTGCATCAAGTTCCAATTTTTCCCTTAGTGTCAACACTTCAACTATTTCTGCAACTGGTAAGTATCTGTTTGCCTGTTCTTTTCGTCTGATTAAATGATGTTTCCCTAATAAAACCTTTCCTTAACTTAAGCTGTAGAGACAACAACAGCAGCTCCTACCACAGCTGCACCTACCACAGCAGCAAATACCACAGCTGCACCTACAACGGCAGCACCTACCACAGCAGCAAATACCACAGCTGCAAATACCACAGCTGCAAATACCACAGCAGCACCTACCACAGCAGCAAATACCACAGCTGCAAATACCACAGCTGCAAATACCACAGCAGCACCTACCACAGCTGCAAATACCACAGCTGCAAATACCACAGCAGCACCTACCACAGCAGCAAATACCACAGCTGCAAATACCACAGCAGCACCTACCACAGCTGCAAATACCACAGCTGCAAATACCACAGCAGCACCTACCACAGCAGCAAATACCACAGCTGCAAATACCACAGCTGCAAATACCACAGCAGCACCTACCACAGCAGCAAATACCACAGCTGCAAATACCACAGCAGCACCTACCACAGCTGCAAATACCACAGCTGCAAATACCACAGCTGCAAATACCACAGCTGCAAATACCACAGCAGCACCTACCACAGCTGCAAATACCACAGCAGCACCTACCACAGCTGCAAATACCACAGCAGCACCTACCACAGCTGCAAATACCACAGCAGCACCTACCACAGCTGCAAGTACTACGGCAGCACACACAGCTACCACAGCTGCAAATACCACAGCAGCACCTACCACAGCTGCAAGTACTACGGCAGCATCTACAACAGCTGCACCTACCACAGCAGCACCAACAACTACCACAACCATAGCAACCACTACCACCCCATCTACAGATTCTCCAACGTCCAGTGAAGGAACACAGAGCCTGAATTTCAAACTCAGCCAAACTTTTACATCTGATCTCCTGAACTCCTCATCGACAGCATACAAGACTTTAGCAAGCACTGTGATGACTGAGGTAAATATACTTTGGCAGCACTGCATGGCTACTAAGCATGTTTAAATGCTTTTTACAAATGTTTTTGAGTGCATATATTCCTTTTGCAGAATTTGAACATAGTGTGTAAAAATCTAAACTTTACAGGTCAATACAGCATGTAAGAAGCTTTATGGATCAAGTTTCCTGCGATCTATAATCAATTCATTTTCGTGAGTAATTTCACAAAAGGACATTTGTTTTTACGGCCTGTGCCTTAATTTAAAAATGTCATTATGATTGCAGGAGTGGATCTGTAGCTGTGGATATGACTCTTGTGTATCAAAATAAAAGCTCTGTTCCAGAATCGACCACTGCGACTTCACAGCTGAGCAGTGAATTGTCAAGTTCCACTAGCTTGAATGTCATAGCAGGCAGTGTCTCAGCACGTAAGTCACTTGTATATTTAACTTGTATTCAGCTATTAATAAAAGTGAATCTGTACTTTGAAATAACATTTGATTTTACAACTATTTCAGAATCATCTGCAGGCAGCTCACAACCCACAGTGATTTCCATGTCCCTGTTGACGTTAATACTCCTTATTATCACACAGATTCTTGCAGATGTATAATACTGTTCTTCTATACCTATTGAAGAAGATACATGGAATCAATTCAGTGAGTCTTTACGTTAAAGAACAAGAATGAGCATAATGAAATTTACCAAAACGATGGTAAAAGAAGTGCTGTGTCAAAATCTTTTTATCACACCTTTGACAACTGGAATGTAAAATTAAGAGAAAAGTATTACACCTGCTGCCTGCTGTTTTTCATAAAGTGCACATGACATGTTTTCTATTTTTATTAGTTTGGAGGAATATATTCACATAAATATTTATAATAATATATTTTTTTTCTTTTTCTCAAATAACTATTGTGAGGTTAAACATGATATAATTTTTGTGCATAGTGCAGAGTGCTATAGGAATTTGTGGAACTACCTCCAATAAGGTCACATCTGTTTCCAAGGTTCATAGAGAAAGTAGAATGATAAATGTTGCCAAAATTGGGGTAACTATATGAACTTTTACATATTCTACATTTTGGTAACCTTTCATACGTTCTCGCATTCAACACTATAATAGCAAATATTCAGCTAACTTTATTGTTCTTATTATTCACATTATTTGTTTTCTGGATAATAAAGAATGTCTAAATGGAAACTGAGCTGTTGACTTATTTTGTTTAGTTATGAAACATTATAATTTTGTATCAACCATGTTTGTGTAGAAAGTGTTGGACTTTTTAAGTGACATTAAAGAGAAACTCAAGGTTGACTGATATGGTAATGGTCACTGATAAAACAAAACTTATCCTGTTTTAAATAGGGGCAAGAAAAATACAAGATAGCAATGATAAATATCAATACACACCAGATCTAAATTCCATTGTAAGATTTATGGATGCACACAATTGCAACTTCGGATTTGACTGATTCTAAATTCTAAATTAAAGTTTATCCAAAAAAAAAAAAAAAAACTGGAACTGATGATTTTGCAGGAAAGTAGGCTGAATTAAATTCAGATAAACATACCATGACCAAGACACAAATTATACACTGCTGTTTGATTAAACAATTTCAGCTTTGACTTTTTCCATAGAAAGAAGAAAACTTCACAGTGACAAACATCTCCCCTGTCTCGTATAGGTGCACACATCTCATATGTGCTTAATCAGGTTAGACATAAACTTAGATGTGTTTATCTAACTTTTCATCTTTAGACCCCAGTCATTCACTCATTTCCATATTTCATATTCAAATGCTGTCTGTTTAACTTGGTTACTAAATACTCATAAACCACAACTTTGCTTTGGCGAAAAGCTATTTCCAATTTCCAGATATGGGTCAATGATTTGTCACAAGAATTTACAAACCTTCAGAGGTTTTTCTTTTTTTAAATTTATTTAATTAATTATTATTTTTTTAAATTATGAATTAAAACTCTTCTTCTAGTCAAAGCTAAACACTCACATAGAGTTCCTAGTACTGCACTTTTCTGGACTGTGATGTTAGTAAGTTTTTATTTATATAGCGCTTTTCATACGCATACAGACATGGACAAAATTGTTGGTACCTCTCTGGCAATGAAAGAAAAATCAACAATAATCACTGAAATAATGTGAAACTGAGAAAAGCAATAATAAATAAAAATTTGCTGAAAATTGTCCAACAAAAATCAAACATTGCTTTCAGCCGTGGTTCAACAGAATTATTAGAAAAAACAAAACAATGAAACTGCCCTGGACAAAAATGATGGTACCCTTAACTTAATATTTTGTTGCACAACCTTTTGAGGCAAACTCAATCAATCAAATAATTTCTGTAACTGTCACTGAGACTTCAGTGACAGTTAAAGGGTTCAAAGGGTTCCTTCTACAGACGGCATCTTTCAGCTCCTTTCATAGATGTTCAATAGAATTGAGATCTGGGCTCACAGACTGCTGCAGAACAGTTCAGTGTTTTTATGATTTGGTCTCAGCAATGGTGTCCTCACATGAAGTTCACTTTGGCTCAAACAGTGATGGATGGTGCTGGTTCTGTTCAATTTGTCATCAATTTTCCTCTTGCAGCCACATCCACTGAGGTTGGCTACAGTCCTGTGGACCTTAAACTACTGAATAACATGTGCAACTGTAATCACAGGAACATCAAACCCACACACCACTTTCATACTAGGCAATGTGGGTGAAGTGTCTTGCCTAAGGATACAACAGTTTTTTTTTTGTTTTTTTTTTTGCTACTGGAGTTCCCCTGTGGCACCTTATTTTCCCAGTGGTCTCCAATTACTAACCAGGCCCACCCCTGCTGAGCTGCTGAGATCTGACGGGATCAGGCTTTGAGAAGATGGTATGGCCATGATGTCTGATTTTTTTCTTTGGATGTGCTGTAGCCACTCCTCCAGTTTGGGGGTTACAGCCCCGAGTGCTCCAATCACCACAGGCACCACTGATGAATTCACCTTCCAGGTCTTCTCCAGCTCTTCCTTGAGCCCCTGGTATTTCTCTAGTTTCTCATGTTCCTTTTGTTGATGTTACCATCACTTGGTATTGCAATGTCCACCATCACAGCTTTGTTCTGTTGCTTATCCACCACCACAATGTCTGGCTGGTTAGTCATCACCATTCTGTCAGTCTGTGTCTCGAAGTCCAGCAGGATCTTGGCTCGGTAATTCTGCACAACGTTTGGAAGTGTTTGCCGCTTTGATGTTTCTGTACACTATACCCGCCACTTGGTTATGCCTCTACATGTCTGCTTTCCCTGCCAGCATCTTACACCCTGCAGTTATGTGCTGGACTGTCTCAGGAGTCCCTTTGCACAGTCTACACCGTGGGTCTTGTCTGGTGTGGTAGATCTGGGCCTCTATTGCTCGAGTGCCCAGGGCCTGCTCCTGTGCAGCCAGGATGAGGTCCTCTGTGCTGTCCTTCAGACCAGGCCTCTCAAGCCATTGGTTGGATTTCTTGATATCTGCCACTTCAGTTATGTTTCGGTGGTACATCCCATGTAGAGGCTTGTCCTGCCATGATGGTCCTTCCAGCACCTCTTCCTCTGAACTTCACTGTTTGAAAACTTTTTTGAGCACGTCATTTATCGGGACTTGCCATTGATGTACATTGATGAGCTTGGATGTTTCATCCTGGACAGTGGTTCCCAGACTCCTCGACCTCCTTCCTTCCGTCTTGCGTACAGTCTCAGGGTGCTGAATGGAACCATGGAACCCTCCATGCATGGTCAGGAGTTTTCGTGTCTTAACTTTGAATTACTTTGTGTAAGAATTGTGCTATACAAATAAATTTGCCTTGCCTTAACATCTGTAGTCTGTGTCTCCTTCTTTGGCCAGCTTATCCTGCTGGGTATGTGATCACTGGCAGGGCATAGCTGTTTATTGCCTGGGCTTTGTTCTTGCCATTGAGCTGGCTTCTTAGGACTTGCCTTACCAAGGTACCTGTCTGTAAATGTTGCTATTCTTCCCTCTGGGAGTGAGACCCCCCCTCTGTGTGAACTACCTTCCCTTTCTTTGTCCTCACTTCTCTCCGTGCTTCCTTGTTTTTAGCCTCTAACTGTCTTTTCCATGGTGGGTATTGTTTCTCATGGCTTCTAGCCTGCTGCAAAAGTGTATATGAGCTCATTGGTTTCGGTGATGGTTGTGGAAGGGATCACTCTCAAAGCTGTATTCACATCTTCGAGAAGACTTTCAGATGATCACCTAGCCTCTGTAACTGGTGTTGTGTTTGCCTTGTGTCGCCTTGTTGCCGTTGTTTTTGATTTATGGATTTATGGATCTGCATCGAGGTTGATGCACCGCAAAGTAAGTCACCCCCACACTAAGAGGCTAGGATTGCGTTTGTGTATCCAAAATGAAACTGCAAAGCAGAATACCAGAAATGTATGTAGAGCAGATGTAGTGAGGACCAATCACAGCCCTTATTGTCTGCATTGCCCCTTGCCGTCTGCATCATTTCAACGCATAGTTAGAAAATTTCTGAGGTGCATGTCCGTCGACATAGACGCTCTGCGGAGGGGGTTCACGCTGACTCAGGCTCTCTGCATTGTGATGCAGGTGATTTAACACATGACCATAAACTGGGCTTTACTCCCCTCTGACCTGGCGTCCTGGCTCCCCCTTGCCATAGGGTTTATATTGTACCTCATCTGTTTCTAGTTGTGATAGCAGTTGCCGTTTGTGGATGTTGGAACACTGAGCTACTAGTTATTTGGCCATCTGCTTGGGCTGTGGGTATCGAAGTGACCATTTCTCCCACAACCTGTTCATGTAAGGGTTAGGGTTAGTGGAATAGCATTCCAGCAGAGCCTTGTTCGTGCATCTCTTCCATTTCCTCCTTGTTCCTGTAGCCCATTTTTCTCTGGTTCCCCAGCACCTGACGCAGATCTTGTTTGGGCAGGTCTGAGCCAGCAACTCATAAGTTTTATTGTCTCTCAAGTAGTCTTAGCTTGATGTATATAAGCATAACTTATCTCAAATATCTCAACACAAAGCACCAACTATAGCTAAATAGTGATGGAATGCTATGTTTTTGTCTTTAATGGGAAATTAGAAATACTGCTTGGGTAACAAACTGTTTCTGTCAAAATAATGCATAGATAACACTCCTCTAGTAAGTATTTTAACAGATTAAAAGGTTGTATAGAGGATTTTCCAAGGAACGAGAAACCCAGCGACTGTCCTTTTTCAAATGTTGCGCATGCGTGAAACCACCCCCCCTCCCCTACAGCCCCTACGTAGAAACGCCTCCTCCTCCTTACGCCAGAAACAGGTTTGTTTACAGCCGGTGCGCTGCACATGAGGAGCGGGGGGAGGGGGGGCGCGGACATTTCGTGCACGGACGAGAAGTGAGGAGCAGGGAGAAGAGCGGAGCGGGGAGCAGGGAGAGGAGAGAGGAGCGGTGTGCGGAGATTCCGTGCCCGGAGAAGTGAGGAGCAGCGGGAAGAGCGGAACGGGCAGCGGGGACAGGAGCAGGAAAGGGGTGCAGAGAAGGGTGCGTGGAGATTCAGTGCGAATGAACTAGCTACAACACGCAGCAGCAAGCGGACTCTTTCTTTGCCTTGAAAATTACGTTTTCAGACATAGGATATCGCTTTCGTGTCCTGAAAAAACGTTTGTCTACCTCTTGGAAATAAAGTACGATTTTCATAATAAGCAGAAGGTTCCTGTCCAGGAGTAATTTGGCGACCAGTGCGTCAGTCTTTAGACCCTTTGTCTGCTTCAGTTGCGCCATCGCTGGAATGAATCTACAAGAATCACCTTAGTTTGGCTTTCGCTGCTTTTCCCCTTGTCTTCTTCTTTCAGCGACCTCAAAAACGGACTTTCTTTTGCGGCTAACTGCTCCTGGATTCTTGTCGCCATCGCAACAAACTTTGTGCGAACTGCGAGGAAGATATAGGTAAAAAAAAGCCACTAAGAACTGTTGCGTTGGTGGAGTAAACAGCGTCTGTGCGTCTTGTGTCTGTGGACTGCGTGACAGGCGTACGTAAACCACGTAACGGCAGCGCGCAGGCAAGTCAGTTACGCTAGAAACGTAGGGAGTTGATGAATTTTTATTCTCTTTTTTTTGGTCATCATAATTACAAGGCTACTGCACCTTTATAATGCTATCATTGACAATTTGAAACAAAAAAAATCCTCCATACAACCTTTAATATAGACATTGACCCACACACACAAAAAAAGGAAAATACCTTGTAGTTGTACACACAAATTTATTATTGGAATGAACAGACATTATACTACAACAAAAATTCCATTGATATATTTAAGGGTGCACTCGGACAGGGGTGCTCAAAACGTCGATCGTGATCTACCAGTCGATCGCCCAGGTCGTGTGGGTAGATCGCCGTGTCTCGTTTCGGACTCTTGTTTGTACTCGGTCTTGTCTCTCACTCAAGGTCTGACACTCAACAAGTGCGATCATATTTCATTACGGCCGCTGCTGTTGGCAATAAACTTGTACCGGGGTGCAGGAGCGTGTGGGGCGTCTCAGTGAAGCCTGTGCGCAGTGCAACTCGCGGAGACTCTACGGCACATCACAAACACACACGCTCCCTATGCACGGCTCGTCTGCAACAGCATGTGCCCTCGTGCCGCGCCGTGTGATGACGTCATCGGGCCGTGGCCCGTTTCGGATGTGCAAGTGTGTGTGAGTGCGGGCCACAGAACCCTACACACTCGTGCTTGAGCACGGCACGGTTCTAAAGTCCTAGTATGAGTGCGCCCTAACTTTCCTCTTTTACAGTATACATACAGAATGTACACTTTTATTTTTTCTTCTTTTTGTTAGAATAGTTTGTTGTTTTATTACACAAGTTTTGATTCGTATTTGGATATTATTTTGTTATTTCATTTAATCTTGTTAATTTGATCATTGATTTTTTTTTTCTTTGCCAAAAGTGTTGGATTTTTTTTTTTTCCTTTAGCTCACCAGCTAATGTGTTTTTGCAGGAGGAGCAGAGGAGTCCAGAGGAGGCCATGTCTCAATTCTCTTCTCTCGTTCAAACACGTTAATGTGTTTATGGTTATTGTTAGAATAATTGTATATGTTATCCCATATTTTTCTATGTATTGTTTTTGTGTGAATAATGTTTTGTGCTTAATAACTATGCAGTGACCTGTCACCCACTCTGCACACCGCGAAAACAATGACTTATTCAGCTCTTTGCTGGGAAAGAGGACAGCTCTCAAGGTTGGAGGAAAGGAGGGGAGGGACTGTTCCTGAAGATGCTACACCTTATCAGCCACCTGCTGTTGATATACATATTTGCACGATGAAATCATGTCTGGTGTTTCTACTGTTTTTTGCTGTTTTCAACCCCTCCCCTTTAGAGAAACACCCATTGTAACTAGGGACCCTCTTATGACAATAAAAAGAGGAGACGCAGAGAGTGCATCAGAGCAGGTAGAGACTGTAACGGTAAATGCACTCTCTGTCCGCCCTCCTCATGAGAAAACGATATTAATCTCTTGTCTTTCTTGTTTTTACAATGTTTAGGTGGTCTTAAACCTGACAGTTATGATTTCATTATGCAAAGATGTCAGACTGACTTTTATTTAAGAATGTTATAAATAATTCTTATTTGATCCCATTACAGGGTAATTTTGGATTTAAACCAGCACATCACAAAAGGCTGTCCCATCCATTTTCAGTTCATGTATCCTTCTGCCTCACTCGTCTACTCCTCTCCTCATTCTTCACTTGCCCCCCTGGCAGAAACTTCCTCACCCATTTCTTACAAAATCAAGGAGAGGAATCAAGGAGAAGGAAGCGATGAAAGAGAAATTAGATGCGGCTGTGGTGGTGAATGCTTCTCTCATGTGCCTCAGACCATGACAGGGTCAGAAGTCATGCTACAGACAGTGCCATTAAAGGCAGGCTATTTATGGTTTTCAGATTGATGAAAAATTAAAACAGTTGCCGTGGTAACTGACAATTCAAAAGTAATTATTCTAGTAATAGTAATATCTTAACACAATAATATGTTGAGGATGCAATTTTTTTAAAGAATAATGAACATGAATAATGAACCATTTGTTGAGTTTCTCTTTAATGTCACATAAAAAGTCCAATACCTTGTACATGGATCTGTTTGATGCAATATTATAACGTTTCATATCTAAACAAACATTAGAAAAAAAAATCAACAGCTCAGTTCCCATTTAGACATTCGTTGTTATCCAGATAACAAAAAAGATTAAGTTAAGGTTAAGGTACACTTTATTCCCCCTGTGGGAAAATTTGCCCTCTGTATTTGACTCATCCTTCAATGCCGCTGGGGCATCTCCTCAGGAGCCGTTCGAGTACTCATGTCCACATCATGTTGTTTGAAACCTTCTTGATGTCAAGCAGGAGTACCAGCCACTTGCCACACCGTGCCACAATAATGTTAATAATAAATAATAACAAAGTTAGATTATATTAGCTATTAAACTGTTGATTTAAAGTGCATATGAAACTACACATTTTACTAAAATGTGAAATATGTAGTCAGATCTCAGAAGCTAAAAAAAGGCCAAACTTGGTTAGAACTTAGTTGGGGAAGGGAATACCTGGTGTCACAGTGGACTGCCAGTGGCAAAAACTTAATTGTGTCCTTAGAATAGACAGGAGTGAAGTCACCCGCCTGGAATTATTGTGGTGCATAGGTGTTGGTGGTGGTTTGCAGGGTCAGTGGCACATATTGGCAACCTTGCTTTTGTCAGTCTGTCTCGGGGCAGCTGTGTCTGCAATAGTAGCTTACCACCACAGAGTGTGGCATGAATTAATAATACACTGTAAAGTGTTTTAGATATCTTGAAAGGTGTTCTATTTTATTTTTTATTTACTTTTACTGTAGCAGTTAACAACATAAATAAAATAGCCTGTGGATAATATTTATATTTAGTATATTATTCCTCCAAACTAATAAAAATAGAAAACATGTCATGTGCCCTTTATGGAAAAACAGCAGGCAGCAGGTGTAATACTTTTCTCTTAAGTTTTACATTCCAGTTGTCAAAGATGTGATAAAAAGATTTTGACACAGCACTTCTTTTACCATGTTTTGGTAAATTTCATTATGCTTATTCTTGTTCTTTGACATAAAGACTCACTGAATTGATTCCATGTATCTTCTTCAATAGGTATAGAAGAACAGTATTATACATCTGCAAGAATCTGTGTGATAATAAGGAGTATTAACGTCAACAGGGACATGGAAATCACTGTGGGTTGTGAGCTGCCTGCAGATGATTCTGAAATAGTTGTAAAATCAAATGTTATTTCAAAGTATAGATTCACCTTTAATAATAGCTGAATACAAGTTAAATATACAAGTGACTTACGTGCTGAGACACTGCCTGCTATGACATTCAAGCTAGTGGAACTTGACAATTCACTGCTCAGCTGTGAAGTCGCAGTGGTCGATTCTGGAACAGAGCTTTTATTTTGATACACAAGAGTCATATCCACAGCTACAGATCCACTCCTGCAATCATAATGACATTTTTAAATCAAGGCACAGGCCGTAAAAACAAATGTCCTTTTGTGAAATTACTCACGAAAATGAATTGATTATAGATCGCAGGAAACTTGATCCATAAAGCTTCTTACATGCTGTATTGACCTGTAAAGTTTAGATTTTTACACACTATATTCAAATTCTGCAAAAGGAATATATGCACTCAAAAACATTTGTAAAAAGCATTTAAAGATGCTTAGTTGCCATGCAGTGCTGCCAAAGTATATTTACCTCAGTCAACACAGTGCTTGCTAAAGTCTTGTATGCTGTCGATGAGGAGTTCAGGAGATCAGATGTAAAAGTTTGGCTGAGTTTGAAATTCAGGCTCTGTGTTCCTTCACTGGATGTTGGAGAATCTGTAGATGGGGAGGTAGTGGTTGCTACGGTTGTGGTAGTTGTTGGTGCAGCTGTGGTTGGTGCGGCCGTGGTTGGTGCAGCTGTGGTTGGTGCTGCCGTGTAGGTGCGGCCGTGGTTGGTGCGGCCGTGGTAGGTGCTGCTGTGGTTGGTGCGGCCGTGGTAGGTGCGGCCGTGGTTGGTGCGGCCGTAGTAGGTGCTGCTGTGGTTGGTGCGGCCGTAGTAGGTGCTGCTGTGGTTGGTGCGGCCGTGGTAGGTGTGCGTGGTGCGGCCGTGGTAGGTGCGGCCGTGGTTGGTGCGGCCGTGGTAGGTGCGGCCGTGGTTGGTGCGGCCGTGGTAGGTGCTGCTGTGGTAGGTGCAGCTGTTGTGTTAGGTGCGGCTGTGGTAGGTGCGGCTGTGGTAGGTGCGGCTGTGGTAGGTGCTGCCGTTGTAGGTGCGGCTGTGGTAGGTGCATCTGTTGTGTTAGGTGCTGCTGTGGTAGGTGCTGCCGTTGTAGGTGTGTAGGTGCTGCTGTTGTAGGTGCTGTGGTAGGTGCAGCTGTTAGGTGCTGTGGTAGGTGCAGCTGTTATGTTAGGTGCAGCTGTGGTAGGTGCAGCTGTTATGTTAGGTGCGGCTGTGGTAGGTGCTGCCGTGGTAGGTGCAACTGTTGTGTTAGGTGCAGCTGTTTGTAGGTGCGGCTGTGGTAGGTGCAGTTGTTATGTTAGGTGCGGCTGTGGTAGGTGCTGCCGTGGTAGGTGCAACTGTTGTGTTAGGTGCAGCTGTGTAGGTGCAGCTGTTGTAGGTGCAGCTGTTATGTTAGGTGCGGCTGTGGTAGGTGCTGCCGTTGGTAGGTGCAACTGTTGTGTGTAGGTGCAGCTGTTTAGGTGCGGCTGTGGTAGGTGCAGCTGTTATGTTAGTGCTGCTGTTGTAGGTGCAGCTGTTATGTTAGGTGCTGCTGTGGTAGGTGCAGCTGTTATGTTAGGTGCTGCTGTGGTAGGTGCAGCTGTTATGTTAGGTGCTGCTGTGGTAGGTGCAGCTGTTATGTTAGGTGCTGCTGTGGTAGGTGCAGCTGTTATGTTAGGTGCTGCTGTGGTAGGTGCAGCTGTTGTGTTAGGTGCTGCTGTGGTAGGTGCAGCTGTTATGTTAGGTGCGGCTGTGGTAGGTGCAGCTGTTATGTTAGGTGCGGCTGTGGTAGGTGCAGCTGTTATGTTAGGTGCGGCTGTGGTAGGTGCAGCTGTTATGTTAGGTGCTGCTGTGGTAGGTGCTGCCGTTGTAGGTGCAGCTGTGGTATTTGCTGCTGTGGTAGGTGCAGCTGTGGTAGGAGCTGCTGTTGTTGTCTCTACAGCTTAAGTTAAGGAAAGGTTTTATTAGGGAAACATCATTTTATCAGCCGAAAAGAACAGGCAAACAGATACTTACCAGTTGCAGAAATAGTTGAAGTGTTGACACTAAGGGAAAAATTGGAACTTGATGCAGCCTCCACCAAAGCATCAGAGACGGATGTTGTGTTTGGCATAGTGTTTGCATCATTGAATATCAATTCAGCCTCTGTTTTAACAGATCCCTTGCTGCAGAATAATTGACAATTAAAAATGTCAAATGTTTATATCCAGTTGAATAAAATCAAATGGTAATGTTTTTGGTTCTTTACAAACCTGAAAGCTTTAATTACTGTGCGTTCAAATTTAGATCCAAATTTAGCTGAATATGTAGCATCAAGCTGTGGAAAATGTTATCAAATGATGTTTAGTAAATTTGTCACTAATGTGTCAAATATACAAATATTATCATTATGTATGCAAGAAAAGAAAGTAGCTGTACCGCTTCTGTGACTTTTTTTTCTAATGCCTTGAATTCAGGTGAAGATTTATTCTCAAGACTTGGGGAAAAGGTTTCCTGCAGCTTAAATTCAAGTTTTATTTTTGGGTCAGATGTGGCTGTTGTAGTTGCAAGTGTTGTCGGAAGTGAAGCTGTAGTGGTTGCAGGAGATGATGTCATGTTTGTTGGAGGAGGTGATGTCATGTTGGTTGGAGGAGGTGATGTCATGTTGGTTGGAGGAGGTGATGTCATGTTGGTTGGAGAAGGTGATGTCATGTTGGTTGGAGGAGGTGATGTCATGTTGGTTGGAGAAGGTGATGTCATGTTGGTTTGAGGTGATGTCATGTTGGTTGGTGGTGATGTCATGTTGGTTGGAGGAGGTGATGTCATGTTGGTGGGAGGAGGTGATGTCATGTTGGTTGGTGGTGATGTCATGTTGGTTGGAGGAGGTGATGTCATGTTGGTTGGAGGAGGTGATGTCATGTTGGTTGGAGGAGGTGATGTCATGTTGGTTGGTGGTGATGTCATGTTGGTTGGAGGAGGTGATGTCATGTTGGTTTGAGGTGATGTCATGTTGGTTGGAGAAGGTGATGTCATGTTGGTTGGAGGAGGTGATGTCATGTTGGTTGGAGGAGGTGATGTCATGTTGGTTGGAGGAGGTGATGTCCTGTTGGTTGGAGGAGGTGATGTAACATTAAAAGCTGCAAAATAAACATGCATTAACTTTTTTGTGACAGTTCCAATTAAAAAAACAATAATTTGCTGAGTTGCTTACTTGTCACAGTGGGTGAAGTAATAGTAGTTGGGGCAACTGTTGTCATCACCACAACTATAAAATCAAAGGTTTAATGAAATGTTTGTGTCAGATTTATTGAAATGACAGCAGCTGGACATATACTGACCATTGGTAACAATGCTTGATGTATTCACACTCAGGGAGAAGTTTGAACTGGACGTAGCTTCCACCAAAGTGTCAGAAACAGTTGTCACATTGGGCACTGTTTGTTCTTCATTGAATATCAATTCAGTGTCTGCTTTTACGGATCCTTTGCTGCACATTCATATCAGAAAAAAGTCCGTTATGAATTATCAGATCAGATAAATGTACTGACCTTATACAAGTCATCATACATACCTGAAACCTTTAATAACTGTCTTGTTAAAAGCAGGTCCAAATTTGACTTTAAAAACGGCATCCAGCTGTAGATAAAATGCTCATTAAAACTGACAATAAAGCTGAAGATAAAATATTATAATGACAAATGACATAAAAATACAATTCACAACATACAAATCCTTACCGCCTTTGTGACTTTTTCTTCCAAAGCTTTAAACTCTGGTGAGGATTTGTTTTCAAGGGTGGGTGTAAAGGTTTCATCCATCTTGAATTCAAGTTTTATTTTTGGTTCCAGCTTAGGAGCTGCTGTTGTGGTTGTGGGTGTAGTTGGTGTACTTTGGGTGGAAATGTTTGTAGGGGAGGGTGATGTCATATTTGTAGTTGGAGGTGATGTCATGTTGGTTGGAGGTGATGTCATGTTTGTAGGTGGAGGTGATGTCATGTTGGTTGGTGGAGGTGATGTCATGTTGGTTGGTGGAGGTGATGTCATGTTGGTTGGTGGAGGTGATGTCATGTTGGTTGGTGGAGGTGATGTGATGTTGGTTGGAGGAGGTGATGTCATGTTGGTTGGAGGAGGTGATGTCATGTTGGTTGGTGGTGATGTCATGTTGGTTGGAGGAGGTGATGTCATGTTGGTTGGTGGTGATGTCATGTTGGTTGGAGGAGGTGATGTCATGTTGGTTGGTGGAGGTGATGTCATGTTGGTTGGAGGAGGTGATGTCATGTTGGTTTGAGGTGATGTCATGTTGGTTGGAGAAGGTGATGTCATGTTGGTTGGAGGAGGTGATGTCATGTTGGTTGGTGGTGATGTCATGTTGGTTGGAGGAGGTGATGTCATGTTGGTTGGTGGAGGTGATGTCATGTTGGTTGGAGGAGGTGATGTCATGTTGGTTGGAGGAGGTGATGTCATGTTGGTTTGAGGTGATGTCATGTTGGTTGGAGAAGGTGATGTCATGTTGGTTGGAGGAGGTGATGTCATGTTGGTTGGAGGTGATGTCATGTTGGTTGGAGGAGGTGATGTCATGTTGGTTGGAGGAGGTGATGTAACATTAAAAGCTGCAAAATAAACATGCATTAACTTTTTTGTGACAGTTCCATTTAAAAAAACAATAATTTGCTGAGTTGCTTACTTGTCACAGTGGGCGAAGTAATAGTAGTTGGGGCAACTGTTGTCATCACCACAACTATAAAATCAAAGGTTTAATGAAATGTTTGTGTCAGATTTATTGAAATGATAGCAGCTGGACATATACTGACCATTGGTAACAATGCTTGATGTATTCACACTCAGGGAGAAGTTTGAACTGGACGTAGCTTCCACCAAAGTGTCAGAAACAGATGTCACATTGGGCACTGTTTGTTCTTCATTGAATATCAATTCGGTGTCTGCTTTTACGGATCCTTTGCTGCACATTCATATCAGAAAAAAGTCAGTTATGAATTATCAGATCAGATAAATGTACTGACCTTATACAAGTCATCATACATACCTAAAACCTTTAATAACTGTCTTGTTAAAAGCAGGTCCAAATTTGACTTTAAAAACGGCATCCAGCTGTAGATAAAATGCTCATTAAAACTGACAATAAAGCTGAAGATAAAATATTATAATGACAAATGACATAAAAATACAATTCACAACATACAAATCCTTACCGCCTTTGTGACTTTTTCTTCCAAAGCTTTAAACTCTGGTGAGGATTTGTTTTCAAGGGTGGGTGTAAAGGTTTCATCCATCTTGAATTCAAGTTTTATTTTTGGTTCCAGCTTAGGAGCTGCTGTTGTGGTTGTGGGTGTAGTTGGTGTACTTTGAGTGGAAATGTTTGTAGGGGGGGGTGATGTCATATTTGTAGTTGGAGGTGATGTCATGTTGGTTGGTGGTGAGGTGATGTCATGTTTGTAGGTGGAGGAGGTGATGTCATGTTGGTTGGTGGAGGTGATGTCATGTTGGTTGGTGGAGGTGATGTCATGTTGGTTGGAGGAGGTGATGTCATGTTGGTTGGAGGAGGTGATGTCATGTTGGTTGGTGGTGATGTCATGTTGGTTGGAGGAGGTGATGTCATGTTGGTTGGTGGTGATGTCATGTTGGTTGGAGGAGGTGATGTCATGTTGGTTGGTGGAGGTGATGTCATGTTGGTTTGGAGGAGGTGATGTCATGGTTGGTTGAGGAGGTGATGTCATGTTGGTTGGAGGTTGAGGTGAGGTGATGTCATGTTGGTTGGAGGAGGTGATGTCATGGTGTGATGTCATGTTGGTTGGTGATGTCATGTTGGTTGGTTGGTGGTGATGTCATGTTGGTTGGAGGAGGTGATGTAACATTAAAAGCTGCAAAATAAACATGCATTAACTTTTTTGTGACAGTTCCATTTAAAAAAACAATAATTTGCTGAGTTGCTTACTTGTCACAGTGGGCGAAGTAATAGTAGTTGGGGCAACTGTTGTCATCACCACAACTATAAAATCAAAGGTTTAATGAAATGTTTGTGTCAGATTTATTGAAATGATAGCAGCTGGACATATACTGACCATTGGTAACAATGCTTGATGTATTCACACTCAGGGAGAAGTTTGAACTGGACGTAGCTTCCACCAAAGTGTCAGAAACAGATGTCACATTGGGCACTGTTTGTTCTTCATTGAATATCAATTCAGTGTCTGCTTTTACGGATCCTTTGCTGCACATTCATATCAGAAAAAAGTCAGTTATGAATTATCAGATCAGATAAATGTACTGACCTTATACAAGTCGTCATACATACCTGAAACCTTTAATAACTGTCTTGTTAAAAGCAGGTCCAAATTTGACTTTAAAAACGGCATCCAGCTGTAGATAAAATGCTCATTAAAACTGACAATAAAGCTGAAGATAAAATATTATAATGACAAATGACATAAAAATACAATTCACAACATACAAATCCTTACCGCCTTTGTGACTTTTTCTTCCAAAGCTTTAAACTCCGGTGAGGATTTGTTTTCAAGGCTGGGTGTAAAGGTTTCATCCATCTTGAATTCAAGTTTTATTTTTGGTTCCAGCTTAGGAGCTGCTGTTGTGGTTGTGGGTGTAGTTGGTGTACTTTGGGTGGAAATGTTTGTAGGGGAGGGTGATGTCATATTTGTAGTTGGAGGTGATGTCATGTTGGTTGGTGGTGATGTCATGTTGGTTGGAGAAGGTGATGTCATGTTGGTTGGAGAAGGTGATGTCATGTTAGTTGGAGGAGGTGATGTCATGTTGGTTGGAGAAGGTGATGTCATGTTGGTTGGAGGAGGTGATGTCATGTTGGTTGGAGGAGGTGATGTCATGTTGGTTTGAGGTGATGTCATGTTGGTTGGAGAAGGTGATGTCATGTTGGTTGGAGGAGGTGATGTCATGTTGGTTGGTGGTGATGTCATGTTGGTTGGAGAAGGTGATGTCATGTTGGTTGGTTAAGGTGATGTCATGTTGGTTGGAGAAGGTGATGTCATGTTGGTTGGTGGTGATGTCATGTTGGTTGGTGGAGGTGATGTCATATTGGTTGGTGGAGGTGATGTCATGTTGGTTGGTGGAGGTGATGTCATGTTGGTTGGTGGTGATGTCATGTTGGTTGGTGGTGATGTCATGTTGGTTGGAGGAGGTGATGTCATGTTGGTTGGTGGTGATGTCATGTTGGTTGGAGGAGGTGATGTCATATTGGTTGGAGGAGGTGATGTAACATTAAAAGCTGCAAAATAAACATGCATTAACTTTTTTGTGACAGTTCCATTTAAAAAAACTATAATTTGCTGAGTTGCTTACTTGTCACAGTGGGCGAAGTAATAGTACTTGGGGCAACTGTTGTCATCACCACAACTATAAAATCAAAATTTTAATGAAATGTTTGTGTCAGATTTATTGAAATGACAGCAGCCGAACATATACTGACCATTGGTAACAATGCTTGATGTATTCACACTCAGGGAGAAGTTTGAACTGGACGTAGCTTCCACCAAAGTGTCAGAAACAGATGTCACATTGGGCACTGTTTGTTCTTCATTGAATATCAATTCAGTGTCTGCTTTTACGGATCCTTTGCTGCACATTCATATCAGAAAAAAGTCAGTTATGAATTATCAGATCAGATAAATGTACTGACCTTATACAAGTCGTCATACATACCTGAAACCTTTAATAACTGTCTTGTTAAAAGCAGGTCCAAATTTGACTTTAAAAACGGCATCCAGCTGTAGATAAAATGCTCATTAAAACTGACAATAAAGCTGAAGATAAAATATTATAATGACAAATGACATAAAAATACAATTCACAACATACAAATCCTTACCGCCTTTGTGACTTTTTCTTCCAAAGCTTTAAACTCTGGTGAGGATTTGTTTTCAAGGGTGGGTGTAAAGGTTTCATCCATCTTGAATTCAAGTTTTATTTTTGGTTCCAGCTTAGGAGCTGCTGTTGTGGTTGTGGGTGTAGTTGGTGTACTTTGAGTGGAAATGTTTGTAGGGGAGGGTGATGTCATATTTGTAGTTGGAGGTGATGTCATGTTGGTTGGAGGAGGTGATGTCATGTTGGTTGGTGGTGATGTCATGTTGGTTGGAGGAGGTGATGTCATGTTGGTTGGTGGAGGTGATGTCATGTTGGTTGGAGGAGGTGATGTCATGTTGGTTTGAGGTGATGTCATGTTGGTTTGAGGTGATGTCGTGTTGGTTGGAGAAGGTGATGTCGTGTTGCTTGAAGGAGATGACGTCATGTTGGTAAGCGGAGTTGATGTCGTGTTAGTTGAAGGAGGTGATGTCGTGTTAGTTGAAGGAGGTGATGTCGTGTTAGTTGAAGGAGGTGATGTCGTGTTAGTTGAAGGAGGTGATGTCGTGTTAGTTGAAGGAGGTGATGTCGTGTTAGTTGAAGGAGGTGATGTCGTGTTGCTTGAAGGAGATGACGTCATGTTGGTAAGCGGAGTTGATGTCGTGTTAGTTGAAGGAGGTGATGTCGTGTTAGTTGAAGGAGGTGATGTCGTGTTAGTTGAAGGAGGTGATGTCGTGTTAGTTGAAGGAGGTGATGTCGTGTTAGTTGAAGGAGGTGATGTCGTGTTAGATGAAGGAGTTGATGTCGTGTTGCTTGAAGGAGATGACGTCATGTTGGTAAGCGGAGTTGATGTCGTGTTAGTTGAAGGAGGTGATGTCGTGTTAGATGAAGGAGTTGATGTCGTGTTGCTTGAAGGAGATGACGTCATGTTGGTAAGCGGAGTTGATGTCGTGTTAGTTGAAGGAGGTGATGTCGTGTTAGTTGCAGGAGGTGATGTCGTGTTGCTTGAAGGAGATGACGTCATGTTGGTAAGCGGAGTTGATGTCGTGTTAGTTGAAGGAGGTGATGTCGTGTTAGTTGAAGGAGGTGATGTCGTGTTAGTTGAAGGAGGTGATGTCGTGTTAGTTGAAGGAGGTGATGTCGTGTTGCTTGAAGGAGATGATGTCATGTTGGTAAGTGGAGTTGATGTCGTGTTAGCTGAAGGAGGTGATGTCGTGTTAGTTGAAGGAGGTGATGTCGTGTTGCTTGAAGGAGATGATGTCATGTTGGTAAGCGGAGTTGATGTCGTGTTAGTTGAAGGAGTTGATGTCGTGTTGCTTGAAGGAGATGACGTCATGTTGGTAAGTGGAGTTGATGTCGTGTTGCTTGAAGGAGATGACGTCATGTTGGTAAGTGGAGTTGATGTTGTGTTGCTTGAAGGAGATGACGTCATGTTGGTAAGCGGAGTTGATGTCGTGTTGATTGAAGTAGGTGATGTCGTGTTAGCTGATTGCACGGTAGAATTGGAGGTTGGAGCTTAAGATACAAAAAACATAATAAACGTCAACATACGTTTATTTTCATTCAAATCAAAGTGTAATTACCAGCAGCATATAGACACCTAACCATTTCTGTGCCATTTTTGAAAAACCTCTGCCTAATGAGAGACACTACAGGTAAAACCTTTGTTTTTGTTCTTTAATTTTAAGTTTGTCAAATGTACAAATGGAGTTGTTTTCTTGCCATACTTGGACATAATGATAACTCTGTAAAGCTACCATCTGTAATTAGATTGGCCGATCTGCCTGTGTTGTGTTGTCACATATCACCACTAGGTGTTATCTACATTACACCTCTGTGACAGTGTGCCAGCTATGGACTGCCAAAGATGCCCAGAGAACACAAGTGAGTTTGAACAAAGGCCAGATGTGGGAGGGGGGAGAGGTTTCACATCTGGCGTCTGTTGGTGAAAAAAAATCACACACATTGTAGATTTGCAACTATTAACACATGATTTTTCAGTTTCTTGTTTTGATATGTACTTTGGTATATTAAAGTTCGAACTAGAAAAATACATTTTAAATAAAAAACACAAATGCAAAATTCACTTTTTTTTTTGAGCTTTTAAAAAATTAAGAATATTGTTCCACATAAAAAACATACATGAGATATATTTTGAGTTATTCCTCTGTAAAATCTTTTTTTTTCCCCCTCTTTAAGCACTCACCTAACAGTGCAGTTTTCCATAAATCATAAAAAAATCATGAATCATTGCTCGACTTGTTTTATGACAAATATGACATTTCTGATGTTGAAACACGTTTATTACTGCAACATACATAAATGAGTATGCTTGGGCTTGTCAGTTATCACCTGGTTTAATAGTTTTCCCCATGGTAATTCCCTCTGCTGCCAGCAGATGCAAGCTGCATCAGATCAGAGTAGGGGGGGCACTAAAGACTAAAATAAGGCCTGATTCAAACTGAATCTTTTATTAACTCTTTGATGTAAAGACAAATGGCAGGACTCTTTGTGAAGGTGAGATGTATGGTACAGATAGCTGCAGTTCATGAGAGTGCACAGTGTTTTTTTCATTTCTGCCAAAATGGCTATGTGACGCTGTTAAATCCTCCATCTATCATTGTTAAAAAGTACAATAAAAAAGGAGTGTAGAAACTGGGTGAGTAAGTGGTAAAGGAGATTTTTGAAGAAATGGCATCTTGAATGCAGGAGAATAAAACTTATTCAAATACACAAGAATCACTTCTGTCTCAAATGAGACATGTTATGCTGACTTGACTTATACATCCCTTAATGTTATAATAGTTGCCCCTTATTATGATAATTGGAGTTGTTTATTAATTGGAGAATCCCTGTCTTACATTTAATTGAACTGTTAAGCGGTTTCAAATCAGTATTGCAATTTGCAATTAACACATGTTATAGACTTCTTTAAGAGTCAATTTTGAATAATAAAATCTTGTGCAAATAAACTATAAAATGTATACATTTTTATTATAGTTCTTAACTGTGTGTAATTTTACCTGTTGTTGCATTGGTTGCTGATGTCTCTATTAGACCTGCATGATACAAAATAAATACATAAATAAATACATTTCTTTAAACACAAATTTGTAATAAATATATGTTTTTGTATATTACCTGCCAGCAGGACAATGAGTGTCAATGGTTCCATCTATAAAAAGAGTGAACATTTTTTTTTTTTTTCACACACACAAAAATGAAAAGATTATATGAATTAGTGCTAGTGGATCACCTATACATCAACATCATAAAAAGACAAAGTCAATTGTCTTGAAGAAGTAACCATTTCAAACATAACTATTACTACATCTTAACAAAATCTCACAGACCTTTTCACAACTAAAACTTCATCTTCGGATATGAATGCATTGATATTAGAATTTGATGAGGCATTCTTCACTGAACTGGCTCACACGCTCAGTCTTCATGTGTTTTTTTGTTTGTTTGTTTTTTTTTGTGGTTTTTCTTTTCAAAATTTGGTCCATATTAACTGTAATGAAGGTCGATTGGGCAATACATGTTGAAGAGTAATAATTGTGATTCAAAGACCACCTTGGTCATTTTCAAAAGCTCTTTTCATCAGCTGTAACTCACAATCTCTTCCATTTCTTTAATAATGTTTTATGTGAGAAATTAATGAAGAATACTGTTGACCTCTCCAAGAGTTGGTACTCCAACATACAGCGTAAAGGAAAATAGAAACGAAAAAAGGAATATATACTTTTTTTTCATTATTTTTGGCTATATTAGTATTTTATTCTTTTTATTTTTTAATTGAAATTGCCTCGATGTGGATTAAAACAGTGTAATGCACAGCTCTGAGTTGTTTAATCTGCTTGTACCATGGTCCCACAAACTAAACATACTTCCCTTTTAAATCTAAATACCTTTTGGGGTTCCATGGATGTTCAAGGCATTAGTTATTTCAATTTTAGTTGAAGCTTGTCCTCCATAACTACCCGTGCAGTTATCCAAAATAATGCATGGCAGTCAGCTTTCAAAAATCTGACCATGGGGTTCATCTTGCTGCCACATGCCTGTAACATGTACAATTATGGGGATAATTTGATCTTACCTTGTTGGAGTTCAGAATCCCAAAATATCTTTTCACTGCATGAGTATTTCTCTATGTATATGAAAGATCCAAACAAAAGTGTTCAGTGTTCGAAAGCAAAATGGGAGTAGGGTGCTGCAAAAAGGTTTTTGTAGAGGGGACCAGAAAATCTGGCTATTTATAAAAATGTATGGCTTAACTTGAAGAACTTGTTCTCATTTTGAATAAGAATAACAGCACACAAAGGGGAGATGGCAACCTAAAGAAAGTATGTCTGAAATTTCAGATATGCATTCTTTTCTCTGTAGTGTGGAAAGCCTTTAGTTGCACACACGTCATGTTTGTGTGAAAGTTAGGTGCTTACATTTTACCACCTTTCTTCAGTTAATAATTATATACTGAGCTGTAATAAAATATGACACTAATTAACCTATATAATACTGAACTATACTACATATACTGAATTCAGTATGTGTAATATGCGCAAGCATTTCATATATAATGTAAAGCAAGCTCCAGAAGCACACTTTGTGTATAAGCACACCATTTATTTTATTACTCAAACTTATCATATAAAGTCAAATTAAGTTTATTCCATTTGTCAGGTGTCGTGTTTCAATATTTAAATACATGAGCTTTAAAGCAGATACCTCAATAGTTGTAGTATTAACTGTTGTAGTAGTATAAACCCAGACCTTTTGGTTGCCTGCCTGGTCCTCCTGATAACATTCCTATATTGTGCAGCACGAGACAGGCACACATTATTTTGCAGGCTTGTTTGGGCTCTATTTGAGATAATTTAAGCAGGCAAATCTTTTTCACACATCACTTTTGTAGTTGATAGTTTCTCTTGTTGAACTGTGAGCATTATTGTACATTTGTTGGCAATCATTGGAGACATTAGAAAATTTTCATTAGCCATAGAGGGTAGCCACTGCCTAAAAGAAGTATCCACAGAACCAGGCCATACCAAATAATAGCTGGGGCGTTGATTTGTTTCAGTCACTTAACAGACCAGGGATTCATTTGAGACCAGGCAGCAATTTGGGGCAGGCAATTAATTCCTTCATCTTGCTCAGCAAAACTGGGA